CTTTTTGGGTTGCTGGGGTTTTTGTATTGTTTTATTTTGGTTTTATTTTACTTGCGTTTTTTCACTGTTATGGGTTTTTTTGTTTGTTTTTTTCTGGGGGGGGGTGTTGTTTTTTTATTGGTTTCTTGGGGGCGGGGGTGGGAAGAGGAGGGGTTGAGAAAAGGGAGGGTCTATTCAACTCTTCAATTACCAATTAGAGGGGAAATAGTAGGTTGTTTAATGGAGGGGGTGACAAACACAGATTATAATTAATGTACTTACTGTCAGAACCTATTCCAACTCGAGAATTCTGCTCACCGTAGCGCCCTCCTGGCCAGTTGATGGTTTGTGAATGGTGAAAATGGGGACGGACTGGTTCTGGAAAGATATTTTTTTTAATGTGCTGTGTGAGCTTTGTTTGACCCAAGTAATGATTCTGTATGGTTCCAACCATGGTCAAAACCACCATCACCATCACTGCCTTTCTCAACTTGTATCAGAATGTAAGCCACGAACAAGAAGGTTATCAATATTCTACTGTCCCTGGCCACAACAAACACTTTCCACCTTTCCCTATCCTGGGCTAGCCTTTGATATACAGTCAAACCTGCCCTGACAGCCACCTCTATAAGACGGCCACCTGTACAAACGGCCACTTTCCGTTTCCCCCCTTGCGTTTTTTCTATATAATTTAACTGTGTAAAACGGGCATCTGTCCAACGCGGCCGCGGCCACCATATTTTAACACACAACCCCTATTACACTGAGCAATAACTCCTGTCTTAGACGGCCACCTTAGTGACTCCATTACGTTTTGTCATAAATTGTGCACTGGCCCCTGGCGTTGTCGGCGAGCCGTCATAATCCAATCACTTGTCGTTTTTGCAGGTAGTCCCTTCAACCGATCATTTTGCGTAGGCCCCTCCCACTGTTGACCAATAGCTATCAATTTTCACCTATTGGTAAGGTAAGCGTGTGATCCTTCATTACCCATAAGCCCCGCCCAGAACTCATACACAAATCGTAAGTGAGATGAGTGGTCACTGTTTACCCAGTCTGTAACAAAGTAACAAAGGACGTCAACATGAACTTGTGACAGAAGCGTCGCTTGTTCCCCGAGTGGTGGCGACCCATGTGTTTGATTTAACATGACACTCGGTCTTCCTAGTCTAATGCATTTCGTTTTATTGTTACTCTTGTGCAAAATCAGCAACAAAATAAAAAAAATTACAAACAAAATACAAACCAACAACAACAACAAAAAATAACAACATAGCGGGTATTTTGATTGAGACCTCAGATTGGAATGGTTTGTTTTATTCATCTTTATCAGTCCTGCCTAAGATGGCCACCTGTCTTATACGGCCATTTTTCTCCTTGACAATGGGTGGCCGTCTTACACAAGTTTGACTGTAATTCCATGTCTTCCCACTACTCTGTACATCATTCTCTGTGACTCTTCTCCAGGTTCCACGTGACCTTTCCCTTGATCTCTTACCCCACACCCACTGTAGCCCTTGTAAAAGGAGTGAAGAAACAGGGTAAAATCTGGATTCTTGTACTGTGAATACATGTATTTTCTTGTCAAAAGTGCAGTTGATATTGTTGTTGTTGTTGTTGTTGTTGTTGTTGTTGTTGTTGTTGTTCCTGCTGCTTAACTCTCCCCCTCCTTTCTCCTGTTCCCCTTCCTCTATTTTCTTCTCCTCCCCCCCCCCCTCGTCGTCTTCCTCCTCTTCCTCCTCTTCCTCCTCCTCCTCCACCTCCTTCTGTTCATCATTCTCCTGATTCTCTAATTCCTTCTCCTCATCCTTCAGTTTTTTCTCCTCCTTCTCCTCCGCCTTCTGTTCTTCCTTCTCGTGGTTTTGCTTTTTCTCCTCCCCCCCCCTCCTCCAGCTTCTCCCCACCCCCCTCCTCCTTCTCTTATGCCTCCCGCCGTACCTCCATCTGGTGCAGCTGCTGGGGATCTAGGTACTTCACTTTAAGTGTGATCTGCTCGACCTCTTTTTGGAGCTAAATGTAATGAAAAAGTCCGATTGATGCTCCATTTTTAGCTAAACTTTAATGAAAATTGCACGCCGAAAGATAACTCCAATTATTACACCATGAAAGAGATCGGCACCTGTGTGCCAATGATTATAGTCTGTCTATGTCTTACTCGCACAATTCCTGGATTCCCACATAAGAAAAATAGTTTACCGAGCACCTCCGCCCCTTTCTCCATGGTTGGTCTTTATGTGTACGGTTGAAGCACCGTGCCTCTAAAATGATCCAATTTGTGTCGATGGGGACATAAAACATTTACAAGTTACAAGACAGGAGAGCCACTCACTTGATGTAGGGCGTGGTAGTGTTTTTCCGGATTCACGAAAATCTGGAGCATCTGCTGTGGACAGGTCAAACAGACTCATATCAAATGGCACTTAAGTCTAAATACTCTGGAAGCAAATCATAGATACCATATATTCAAAACAATTAGGGTGAGGGGGGGGGGAAGGGGTTTGTTATCTGAAGGTTATGAGAGATTAGGGACCAGCGTCTGTGATGTAGCAGTTAAGCTCGTTGCCAGCCTTCAAAGATATGGGTTTGCCTCTCAAATGGCTGGGGGGTTGGGGGGTTTTTTAATCAACTTTCTCTGTCCCACTGTTGGAATGCTGAACTTCACTCAGCCCAGGTTGGCCTTGACACGTAAGTTTGTTTTAGCCCGCCTCATAAATAATCTAAACTGAGTTGATAGGGATGTTAAATACTTAGATCTATAATTACATTACAATTACAGAGCTAAGAGAGCTTGCTTCGGATTTAGGTCATATTTTCCTGACGAACATGATATTCAAGTGAGGTGGACGCATATAGTCTAAGCCAATAAATCAGCTCTAGTTTAATGTCTTCCTTCTGCTTGTGAATGTGTGCACTTTTTTATGTACGTCAAAATTACAATCCTCGGTTTTCCCCAAGCCGTTTGTTCAGATGCAAAAGATTAAGTCCATCAACAACCGAGTGACAATTTTAACAAGACGATGAAAGGTGCATGCCACATTTACTGCTGTGGAAGTAAACAAAGGGAAATTTTTGCACAGCAAAAACCCTATACAGCTTTCTTTTGGAGCCTTACTCTGTGTTGCTATCCCCTGTCATCATCATCACTGTCTTTTTCACCCTTGATCAGGATATAGGCCATGAACAAACACGTTCCATCTTTCGTTATCCTGGGCGAGTCACTTGGTGTCACTCCATGTCTTCCCACTTTTCTGTACATCCATTTCCGTGACTCTTCTCCAGGTTCCACATGGTCTCCCCTTTGATCTTTTACCATGTGGGTTCCAATCTAACACTTTCCTTGTCATGCAGCTGCTTGACTTTCTGAAAGTGTGCCCAGTCCATCGCCAACGCCTTCTTCCCACCTCATCTCTGACTGGGTTCTGTCTTGTTCTTCTTAATACTTCCTTGCTGGTGATCCAGTCTGTTCAGCTGATACTCAGTAGCTTCCTCAGACATTTGTTCAAGAAAACCTGGATCCCCTTAATGCACGTCTGATCCACGTCTCACATTCATACAACAGTACTGACTTTACATTTGAGTGATAATCCTCAGCTTTGTGTGTAGTGAGATAGCCTTGGTCCTCCAAATCCTGTTCAAAGAAATAAATGCAGTCTGTGCCTTTCCAATACGGAACTTTATTTCAGCACCTACCTCTCTCTCTCTCTCTCTCTCTCTCTCTCTCTCTCTCTCTCTCTCTCTCTCTGTCAATTATACTCTCAAGATAGCAGAAGGATTTGACGTCTTTTAGTACATTTTCATCAACTGTGACCTCCTCCTTTCGTAGTATATCTGTCCTTAGGACTTTTGACTTTCCGGGGTGGATCCTCAATCCAACAGACTCTGAAAGGCTGTTTAAAATTGAGGTCTTTGCTTGCATCTGTTCCTGAGTGAGTGACAGAAGAACCAAGTCATCTGTAAAGTCCAGATCGTCCAACTGAGTCCATGGGGTCCAATGTAGGCTGTTTCTGTATCCTCTGGTGGTATCCTTCATCAGCCAGTCGATTGCCAAGATAAAGAGGATAGGGGATAGTAAACATCCCTTTCTCACACCGGTCTTGATGTCAAAGCTGTCAGTGAGCTGGCCATCATGTATAACCCTGCAACTTGTCCCTTCGTACTTGGTCCTGATGAGGTTAACCAACTTCTGTGGGATTCCGTGATGTCTCAGTATCTTCCACAGTGTTGCTCAGTCTATTCTGTCAAAGGCCCTCTCATAGTCAAGTAAGTTGACGATCAGCTGAGAGTTCCACTCCAGGGTCTGTTCCATTATGATCCTTAACGTGGCAATTTGGTCCGTGGTCGACCCATTTTTCCGAGAAAAAAAACAGCCAGTTCATCCGTTGCAGACTTGATTCTCTCCAAAATGATTCTGTTGAAGACCTTACCTGGTATCGAGAGAAGAGTGATTCCTCGGTAGTTGCTGCAGTTGCTGAGATTCCCCTTTTTAAGAAGTTTCACAAGGTGTCATTCTTTCTAATCATTTGGGAACTTGCTCTCATTCCAATCCTAGTAAACAACCGGAGAAGGAGGTCTGCCGTCACATTGTCATCTGCTTTTAGGGCCTAAGCTGGAATCTGATCAGGACTGGCTGCTTCACCATTGTTCAGCTTCTTAATGGCATCCATGATCTCCTGTTTTGATGGAGCAGATTGATAACTCATTTCTTACTGGCAGAATGTTTGGCGGCTTACTTGGTGGTGGTCTGTTCAGAAGACTGCTGAAATGCTCTACCCATCGTCTTGACTGAGCTTCCTTTCCAAAAATGGTTTTCCCTCTTGGTCTTTTACGGTTACTTCTGGTTTCCCATATTTTCCAGAAAAAAATTTTGTAGTCTGGTAAAGGATTCGCATGTTCCCTCCCTCTGCTGCCTCCTCTGCCCTCTCCACCAGCCCTAACAATGAATTCCTCCTTGTCTTTTCTCCGTGATCTCTTTACATCTTTAGCTGTTGTCCTGTACTGTTCCAACGCATCCTCTTTTGATCCCGTTGTTCTACATGCTCTTGTCTCGGCTCTCAATTGTTTTCTAGTGCTAATCAAGTCCAATGACCGTTGGCTAATCCATTCTTTGTGGTCTAATTTCTTCTCACCGAGTATTTCTTGGCATGTTGAAGTAAATACTTCTTTGACCTTGGTCCAGTGCATCTCCACCTCCTTGTCCTCCTCACCAAGATCCTCCAGCGGTTGAAATCTGTTCCTCAACTGCAGTTGAAAATTCTCATTCTTGTGTCCATCTAAGAGACTTACTTGAAACATCGTTCTTTTAGTTCCTGTTCTGATTCCGTGCTTTTTTAGACGAAGCTTGAGTTTTGCTAATAGCAGATGATGATCCGATCCAACATCTGCCTCTCTCTGTATGGTGGCACCTTCCAGTGAACGCCTAAACCTACGTGAGATACAAAAATGATAAATCTGGCTCTCCGTCACTCCATCCGGTGATACCCACGTAGCCTGGTGGATCCTCTTGTGGGGAAAAACAGAGCCTCCAATGGCAAAACTGTTGAAACCACAGATATTTCTCAATCCCTCACTGTTCTCTTTCATATGTCCCAAGTCATGTCGTCCAATGATTCCTTCATAACCTACGTTGTCCTGACAGATTTAGGCATTGGCATCTCCCCTTATGATGTTGACATCCTTCTTTGGTAGTTTGTCGATGACCCCCTGGAGCCGGCTATAAAAGCATCCTTGTCTTCAACCGAGGCTTCATTCGTTGGAGCGTAGATCTGAATTATGTTCATGTTGATGCTCTTATTCCTTGCCGTGAATGAAGCCATGATGATCCTCTTCCCCTGTGGTTCCCATCTTCTAAGTGACTCCTTTGAATACTTACTCAAAATAACTCCAACTCCCTCCGCATTGTGCTTGTCTTCCCTCTTAGAATACACTATTTGTTCCCCCGAGCTGGGCTGCTTCTGTCCAGATTGTATCCAGTGGGTTTCGCTGACTCCTAGTATGTGCAGCCTGTATCTTTTCATCTCTTGTGCCACTTAAGAACTCTTTCCTGCTTCATACAAGGTGCGAACATTCCACGACGCAATCCGGAAAGACTTGTTCGACGGAGAAGGTTTCGTGTCAGAAGAGTCCGTTCGGCTTTGTCCGCTGTCCTTCATTGCTCCTGCTGACACAGAAGCTCCCCCGTCTCCCAAGATGGAAAAATAATAAGGCGAGTTTGTTCGTATTTCTATAATTTTCCGTTTTTTACTGGGTCGGGTAGATGGCCCTCGGCAAGCTTGCACTTTTCAGGTGACCAGACCTGTGCACCTTCAGTCGCCTCTTACGACACGCAATATCACGGCAGGTGTATTCTTTGCTCCCCCATAGTAAAACTATGGTGCCCCCACGTGCAGGTTTTCTTATAGTGAGAGCTTTTCGGTGCTAGGAGTGCCGAAGATTAGAGGTGTTAGAATCCCCTGTGACAGACACATAATATTTTCAGAGAAGAGGTAATATTCTAAGAGCAATACATTTTGTATAGGTTTCAATTAACTTAAAAGTGTCTATCTTGTACGTGATTAGCACCAGCCTTCGAAAAAAACTTCAAATCCTCGGATCAGAGGAATAGGCCAAGAAAAAGAAGGAAAAAAACTCACTGAGCTCACCACTGTCAACATCGCGGTTCACTGCAACAAGCAATACATGTTGATTAGCAGATGCTGTGTCATTATATGTGTGTATGTGTGTGTGCCTGGAGAAAGGTCTTAGTTGTCGATAATTCTAGATATTAAGATAAGGGCATTGTTATTGTAGAAAATTCAATGCTGAACACTTTAACAAAGTTTGGAGAAAAATCCAATTTCTGACATATTTTTAACCTTTGTTGAAGTACATTAAGTTGTAAAAATAACTAGTCTAATTTAAAAAATATTCATACGTACTATATCATAAAATCCTTTCAATGTGTATTAAGAAATCGTTGAAAGTGCGTTTTATGATGGAACTACATGTTTAACCAGGTAAAACTTTTTTGGCCTTTTCTTTCACCCCGTTGCTCAAAAACAGCTTTGCCGACAACAGGGACCTCTCTCTAGGCACACACACACATATTGGAAAAGTACATTAACCCCCCCCCCCCCCTTTCATACTTATGTCTCCACACATTTCATAGATAACTGAGTATGGTTTCCTGATCCTGTAAGACAGGTTAGATTACCCGATTTAGGCTGCACTGCTGCAACTCTACTGTGGGCCCTATTTCAACCCCAGATGTTGCACATTAGGACAAGCCGTTGAAAATGTGGGGGAGTGGGATGTCAACTTCACTTTTAGCATTTTATATTCAATAAACACACCCTCATTCGCAAGTTCTGAGCATACACTTCAAATGATGTAGCCCTATTGTGTCCAGGCAGGGGAGGTATTGATCGAGTATCTTCATCTGTCCGCATCAAACTCAGCCCAAGTTCTTTGATCGAAGCAGCCCATCTCCCAAATGGCCTGCCGAAATGCTTCTTTTCAAGGTGCCAATGTCATGTATCGGGTAAGTTTGTCATTGTCAGAAACTTATTGTACTTTCGGAAATTATCTTTTCGAAATTGATTCAAAAAATTTATACCATCCTTGATTACTTTGGGCAATTTAGAAAGTCGACACTGAAACCTGATTACGGTTAAAGCTAAAATTAAAATCCCTGAAGCAAAAAAATTCCCCCACAACAACAGCAACAGCATCAGCACAGCAACAACAACAGAAACAACACCGACTCTTTCTTTCCTTCCAAGTTAAATGACCCACCTTTGTGAATGAAATTCCTGTAGTCATGAAAATGGTCTTCTTCGGGAATTCCCAGTTTAGAGTAGTCATTGGTTATCAAGGGAATAGTGGACATACGCCCAGAAGTCTCCACAAAAAATGCCATGACCTCAGCCAAAGATTTCATGGGTTTATGCTGAAGACAAAATGGTTGGTTTTAGAGGCGGAGTGTGATGGGGAAAGGAAAAATTATGGATGGACATAAAACCTTTTCCACATTATATTTCTACTTTTATCAATCTATCTATCTGCCTGCCTGCCTGCCTGTCTGTCTGTCAGTCAGTCAGTCAGTCTGTCTGTCTGTCTGTCTCTCTCTCTCTCTCTCTCTCTCTCTCTCTCTCTCTCTCTCTCTCTCTCTCAACCTAACTCTCAGATTTATATACAAACATAACCACATATATACACGTGCGCACACAAGCACGCATGCACGACACTCACAGACACGAAACACACATTTTCTTCCCCGTTTAAGAGAACTCAGCTCCTGGTTTCTGCAAAAACTATGAGATCCTGTCACAACATGAGCTTACAAATAAGAAAAGGTCCCTAGCACTATCAGTATTCCATTTAATCTGAGTTCAGAGTTCAACTTCTGAGTTCACCTTCAAAACAACTTTTTTTTAGGTCTGTAGAGCCTGCTAATTATACAGCTATAAATTCTACACAATAAAGCGTTACATTTTAAATACAAAAGAGTAATTTGATTGTTTGTAAATGTTTGTTTTATTCTCCCTTCAATACAATTCAGATAATTTAAGAGGCAGGTTCGATCTTGCCCATTAGGGCCAGTCCTGGATGAGTGAGACAATAATATGATTTCCTTCTCGATAAAATAGACGCCCCACTCAATAGGAATTCGAACTCACATGTTTTGTATGCAACAGTGTTGAGCCTATCCTATACACCACAGACATCGAATCAAAAACGTGTTTATTTTCAGGTAATGCAGCCCCTTTAACTTCAAAACAGAACAACAGAAAGAGGACCCACCGGATTCACCACATCGAGAATGTACCCATCACCGCGTGGCTGTACCATATAATGGTTTAATGAGGCGGTTCTGGGGAAATAAAAATGAAAGATTAGGGTTTACATACTTCTCCTCCGTCTCTCAGTCCTCTTCTTTGTCTCCCTCCCCCCCCCCCTTCCTCTTCCTCTCCTTGTTCCTCACCCCCCCCCCCCAACTCTTCCTCTTCTTCTCCTCCTCCACTTCTTCTTCTTCTTCTTCTTCTTCTTCTTCTTCTTCTTCTTCTTCTTCTTCTTCTTCTTCTTCTTCTTCTTCTTCTTCTTCTTCTTCTTCTTCTTCTTTCTTTCTTTCTTTCTTTCTTTCTTTCTTTCTTCTTCTTCTTCTTCTTCTTCTTCTTCTTCTTCTTCTTCTTCTTCTTCTTCTTCTTCTTCTTCTTCTTCTTCTTCTTCTTCTTCTTCTTCTTCTTCTAGCCATGCCAACAAAATATGATAGTGATTGGGAAACATCAGAAATTGTTTCCACACCTTCAACTTCAAGATGAACGTATCCTCGAAAGACAACTTCTGAGTAAAATCAAATATCTAGTTGGGCCCTTTCGCTCAGTTTGTCATCCCTGTCCAGACCCCTTCAACAATGTGCCTAAACTGATTCTGATGATAGGTCTAGTTTAGAGTAGGATAATGAATGTAAAGACGAACTTGTAATCAATGTGCTTGTTTATTCTTTTAGTACATGTGTGTGTGTGTGTGTGTGTGTGTCTGTGTGTGTGTGTGTATGTGCGTGTGTGTGTATGTTTGCATTTATGTGTGTGTATATATGTGAATGTGTAAGTGTGTATGTGTGTGCGTGAGAGAGAGAGAGAGAGAGTTAGACAGACAGACAGACAGACAGACAGACAGACAGACAGACAGACAGACAGACAGACAGACAGACAGACAGACAGACAGACAGACAGACAGACAAACAGACAGACAGACAGACAGACAGAGACAGAGGGATTTTAAGTTAAGGGGGAGGGGGGCACTTGAAGGCCAAATGTGGCATACTTCGTGCGTTATTATTCTTCCATTTTTTCTTCTGTTTTTGGAAGGAGACGAAAGTCCACCAAGCCACCAATTACTCATTTTTGGGCCGTTTTATATGATTTTTAGTGTCATAATTTGTGAAAAAGTAAAGAAATCTGCTATACTCAGCAATACTTTCAACAAGAATATCTTGCACATCAGAAAAAAAAGCTTTTTTGAAAACTAATTTTAAACATTTCAGTTAGAAATCTAGTATTAAATCTATTTTATTAATCTCTTTTTTGTTTGTTGTTTTTTAATCGAGTAATCGAGCGATATGAAAGTTGTGGATGTCTGAAAACAATTATATCACCTTCAGTATTTACCCTGTTACGCTGCATCTGATACATGCAAGGGAGGGGGGGGGGGGAATTAACCATTTAGTTAAACAGTTTTGTGATTCATCTAGCTATGAAAATTATGATCTAACATATGAAGTGCAAACCTTGGTGGTTCTGTCTTTGATGGATCAGCGTAGAAGCTGTGCCTCTGAAAAAAAATGCAAACCAGTAATGGAAAACTTTCACGACGCTCACAAGAAAAAATGTATCAAGGAAAATGTATTAGGAAGGGAAAGCAAGTAATAATATTCTGTAAGATTTCCAAACCTACCCTGAAACACCACTCATCCACAAACAACCTTGTAGCCTGCAGTTGAAAGGGGTATTGGTCCCCATTTACCAAATATTCTTGCCCAAAGATAAAGGAATGTAAGACTTTTCTTTCACATCACAGTCATAGTATTTGAATTTTGAGAAAAGCTGAGCACATCAACACAATAACGGTCATGAAGTGCAGGGAAAGAATAAGACAGGCAGATAGACAGACAGACAGACAGACAGACAGACAGACAGACAGACAGACAGACAGACAGACAGACAGACAGGCAGACAGGCAGACAGGCAGACAGGCAAACAGACAAGCAGACAAGCAGACAAACAAACAGAAAGAAACAACTTTGTCTTCCCATGCCAGATTTGAAACTGAAACAGATACTGTTCGCTACTCTGCTCGGATGTTTTAAAAAACTATTCGTCTTTTCCCATCATCCATCTGTTGATCTTGCCTTGCCTAATCTATTTTTACAGTGAGAGCAAGACCTCCGTGTCGATTCAGCTATCCTGGACATTCATTCATTTGCCTCCTCTCCTTGATTTATTTAGAATGAAACAACTGAGGGGGAGGGGGGGGAATCATTTTATGAAATACATGCTAACATCAAAAGAAGGAAAACTTACAGCGGTGAGTGTGGTCACAGGGGTGGGCTCGATATAATCCTCAGGTGGAATATTCAGGTCTTCGTCTGTTTGGGAATACGAACCAGATGTGGACCCATTTGGGGAGTCAAATCCGCCTGAAAATGAACTCACGACAGCCGGCTCTGAGGAGCGTCTGTCAATTTGAGCCGACGACGGCAGTCTGACGCCGATACTGAGAAGTTCCCGGACGTGCTCGATTTGACCAGGTAATAAGTCGAGACTATCTGGAACCGTGTTCTGCGCAGGTTTGAAGGTCAGGGAAGGAGACCGAAAAATATAAAGAGATATATATGGGAGTTGGGTG